CAGGCCCACCCCCAGAGATTGTCATCTATCAGGAACTCCGCATGGAAGGGTTCATCGTCACCCGCTGGCAAGGGGACGTACGCCAGAAGGCTCTGAAAGACTTGATGAAATGGGTCTTAGAGGGTAAAATAAAATACTGCGAATACATCAAAGGAGGATTTGAAAACATGCCAGCTGCATTTATGGGAATGCTGAAAGTAGAGAATTTGGGGAAAACAATAGTGAAGGCATGAGAAAGGACACAGGGATCTAAAGAGGATTTGGATGATTGCTTAATATGTATTTTCCACCATTTAATAAAACCATATGCTGCGTTAAATATCTAAGCAATAACAACTGTAATGAGTTTGACCCACCAAATAAAAGAAATTTAAATATATTAAAAAAAAAAATAAATAATCCAGAGTCAGAAAGGATAGAAAATGTGGGAATGGACCTTTATGTTTTTTGTTTTGAAATGTTGTATATTTTAGGTAGCTAGAGTCTTACATTTGAGTTTTTATACTTAAACTCTAGCTTTATGGAGATTCAAGAAAATATGAATACTGATTTTCAATGGGTTGCAAAGCTGGAGTTTAGTAGAAGATTTTATTCCTTTCCGGCTGAACAGTCCTAATTTCTTCCTTGGCTACATTCATTGAGTTCATAATATATTACAACCTACCAAGTTTGCCTAAAATATGGTAACTTCAAATAACAAGCATTAAGTATCTATTAGTTTCTGGGGGAACCGATTTAGACATGGCACAACTGAGTGCCTCTCACATTAAGTCTCCTATAGATTTCAGCAAGATGTCAGATGGGGCTGTGATCTCATCTGAAGGTGACTGGGGTGAGTGGAGATCTGCTCGCAAGTTCATTCATTGGCTGTTACAGGTCTAGGTCCACTCTGACCGCTGACTATATACACCAACTCTTTACCACAAGGGCTTAGCTTCTCCATAGAGCTGTTCACAGTCTTGCCCCAGAGCAAGGCTGTCAAGTGAAAGAGAACAAGAGAGGGTCATGAAAATGGAAAACAGTCTTTCCATTTCCATAACTTAATGTCAGAAATGAAAGGAGCCCTGGTGATGTACCGTGTAACATGACAGGCTGCTAAGCAAAAGGTCAGCAGTTCAAGTCTCAGTTCAAGTCAGCAGTTCAAGGTCAGCAGGTCAAGCAGTGCTCTAAGGGAGAAAGAAGGACAGTTTCCCCACTGTAAAGAGTTACAGCTTCAGAAATCTGATGGAGGGTCTCTGTGAGTTAGGATTAACTCGGCAGCAGTGGGTTTGGGTTGTTGTTGTTTTGTTGTGGTTTTTCTTCTCAGACCTTCTTCTCACCATTTCAACTAGATTAAGTTCATTAGAAACGAGGGATTAAATCCAGCCCACAGTACAGAGGAGACATTACACAAGGACATTAATAGCGAGAGTCTGGTATTAACAGGGCCCTTTTAGAGGCTGCTCACCACACACAATGGACAATGGATACTGTCCATTTGGTAAGTGGTAAGAAGCCCTGCACAACAGACAAGAAAAGAAGGTTGAAGGCATATATCTCATTTGTCATTTTTATTTTCCAAAGTTTTTCACAAGTTCCCCTTCAAGTATTTTCTCCGATCGAGGCCAGTTCAGGTTAAATTGACAGTCATTAGCTGAATCTCAGAAATAAAATTTCATATGATTGAGGGAGGGAAATCCCAGTAGAGAAAAGTCCACTTAACTGTTCTTATATGCTGCCAAATGTCTAATGATCTTGTATATCTGTCTTTTTAAAAGGGAGAACCAGGCTTCATTGGTCCTCAAGGAGAACCAGGCTTACCAGGCTTGCCAGGAACAAAAGTAAGTGGAGGTTACTCCTTTCTCCCCTTTTCTCTTTCATTTATTCTGAATTGACTGGGTCTAGTTCATTGTAATTAAAGAAATGTGAGACAACTTTATGATTTAGATGACCAGGTATTTTTTTGCTTAATACAAAACGAAGGCAAACTATTCCTCCCAGTATTAACCCTTCTAAATGAGAATATCATGTCAAGTTGGTCAAATCCAGAAAGTCTTGGTCAAGAAGACAGATGGTAAAATATATTCATTTCAACTGTCCCCTTAATAGCCACTGAAGCAATATGATAATCTTAGCCTCCTGGCCCTGTGGAAAAGCAGCAGAATGCTAACGTGGAGAGAGAACTCATTAACTCCTGCTTCTCCTCACTGATTTTAGGGCATGTTGGTAAATCAAACATTATTACTATTCCCACTTCACTCCCTAGGTTTCAAAGGCCAAAACTGATGTCATCTAGATTCTTAAGTGCTTCATTCCACAAAGAACCACCCTGAGTAGCATCTGCAGAAAGACTGTAATGAAAACCATCTCGTGATTCTCTATTTGGCAACCCTAGAGAGGGCCCTAAAAGCAAAATCTCCATGCCACCATGTTTAAAAAAAAATTACTTTGCTGTGGATACTGTCAGGTCCTTCCTGTGTTTTTTTATCTATTCAGTAAGACATGAAAAGGTACCGCTCCAAGGGAGAGGGCTTTACACATGACAGACTCATGAATCAAAGAAGGGACAAAATTAGATCAAACCACAGTCTTTCGTTTTTAAACCAAAGCAGTCTTGGCCTCAATATGGATTGTGTTCACCGGAAATAAGGTAGGGATGCATTTCAAGAGCCAGAGAAATGTGTGCATGGGCCTTTCAAGCAGAGGAGTCCTCATCTCCGCTGGTTGAGGGAATAGAACTCTAATCCTAGGAAATGGAAAATACATGTGGCCTGACAGGGCCTAAAATGTGGTCAAATTATGCAAAATTGCTGGATAAAGGATTTTTTTCTTCACATAATCAATGACATCATTGGAGTGGAGGGCTGGAGGCAACCAGACCAGTAACAATGATAGTGGATAAGATTTTTTTGCACTGTTTCAACAGAAATTATACATATTTATATCCCAGTAATCACAGCAGAAACTTTTTTTTAATCCCAGCTTCTTGTTGTTGTTTTGTACCATCAAGTAGGAACCGACCCACAGCAGACCCTCCAGCAGGTGTTCATGGGAAGGAATTGCATCAATATACCTTTTACAATGCTAAAATTCTGAGCTAACTTACTTCTAGGAGTTTATGATGCTCTCCAGATAAGTTGCCGTTATCACTCAGTTACAATGATACTTCCTGTTTTTACTGTCTCCTGTTATATAATATTTCCTGGCAGTTTTAGTTATGACATATGGTAACTAATATTTGTGAACCTTTATCAGTAATCTTTTTTTGAGGCTTGAGTAGAATTTTAAAAGGAAAAAAAAGACCTCCACATAGTTACTAATAATATTACAATTACTAATGCTATAATATAATGGAAGAAGCTTTTGCAAAACGTGCTTCTTGTTGCTAGTAAAGGGTTGCTATGTGTTGGCGTCGACTCGACAGCCTATAACAAGATGATCACATGGAAGCAATTTACAACTGTCTTTATCTCATGCTATTTAAAGATAAAAATTCATAATAAACATTACGAGGGAGCTCAGGTGGCCTACTGGTAAGAAGCTGTACTGTAATCCCAAAGGTACGTGGTTTGAATCCAACAGCTGCTCTATGGGAGAAGGATAGGTACTCCTCTCTCATGTGATTTACTGTCTGTAAAAACCCAGTGAAAAAGAAAAAAAAAACAAAAACAGTAGAGGGTCAGCTGTGGGTCAGTCCCCACTCAACGGGACACCACCACAACAACAACAAAGATTCTGTATGGTCTGGTACTAGGGGAGGACCACAGAGGGAGGGGTGCACCATGAGTGGCCACACTGGGTGATATTGATCCTTATGCCATCATTGCTAGTGAGCTGCTAGGCTTAGTTAACACAATTATGAGGAATCCTTGCTTTAGCCTGAGGAGTTCCACACAAGAAACATTCTTTGTGGAATAAAAATAAAGGGTAAAAAGAAAATAATGAGCATTCCCTGAGAATGTGAGAATGGTTGCATTTGCCTTGACATGCAGTGGTAGAGCCAAATAAGAAAGAAGGCGGCCTCAGGAGGAGCAAGGAGGGGGCCCTGGTCAGGATCAGGGAGAACCAGGTGTGGAGGGCAAGATCTGTAAATGGCAGTGACAGCTTGTTTGGTAAACAAGCAAAAATAGAAGAAACACAGAAGTAAAGAGCAGAGTTCATCCCTAAACATATTTTCTATTTTTTTGACTGATTTTAAACTATTCATCGGTTTCAAAAAATCTGTAACATCAACAACGGTTCCTGTTTATGAAGAAAAGACACGAAGATTTTACAGATCCTTCTGAATAAATACTGTTCAGAACCCCTAATTATAAAGATTAAGATTGTGCTGTGTCTGTTTGTTTCCTCAAGAACAGATGTGAATAGGAAATTTCTTTGAAGTTAATTTTCAGTGGAATGGCCAATTGAAGTGAGTTCCTTGTTCTGATGGAAAAACCCTGATGACTGACTTAAGAAACTCTTCCGGTCAAATGACTGCTCATTTCCAGTAGTGGAAGCAGTCTGAATTTGCACCATTGTATTCAAGTTTAGGAAGATAAACTGGCCCTGTATTTTATACTCTGAACACAGTGAAAAGAGAGCTTTGTGAAAAAGAAAAAATCTGTCATATGTGGCTAGGAAGAGACCTAGACCTGTCTAAAACAATGAGGTTTTCAACATGTTCTGTCATACAACAAATGGTATATTTATTCATCAACTCAGCAAATATATACTTGTATATATTTGCTAAACATTTGCTAAATCATTTCCCTTATATGGGAGAATGAGGAGTAAATGCAATACTAAGTCTCTACTCTCCTGAAGTTTACACTTCAGTATATGTGAGACTGATTAGAAAGAGAAGAAGAAACACTTCGGGAACTAAATTCTTTTATTGAATGATTGCCAACTGATTGTTGCTATTATTGTTAAGCCTACAGTTCAAAGGCATCAATTCTTTTTTTCTGTCATCCATAGTCATTGTCCAGCTCTTAGATGCATAGCAAATGACCTCAATCAGACACACCTTAGTCTTCAAACTGCTATTATTACTCCTCAGTAATTTGGAGTAACAGATAACTCACTGAAATAAGAGCCCTTATAATAAAAATGGATTCTGCATAAATGTAGACACTATACACTCCATTTCTGTAGTATATTATAGAAAGATTATTTTAAATGTTTTTGTGTTTTCCTAAAATAACGTTCTGAAGCTCTTGTGGCATTCTGAGGGAGGGTGTTGCACTGCCATCTCAAAGGTGGGCAGTTCAAATCTACCAGTGGCTCCATGGAAGAAAGATGTGCAGTCTCCTCTAGGGCCATTGACAGCAACTGAAAGTCCTTGGGAGGGTCATTTATGAGTTGGTTCTGGCTCAACTGTAGTTAGTTGTTTGATTGAGGATAAGTTAATAGTGACTGTTTTAGAATTCTTCTAAAATTTTTCAAGTTGATTCAGTGATTGGAGTAATGGGAGTGGGTGTGTCGGAGACAGTGAGACTGGCACAGGACAGAGCAGAGTTTAGGTCTATTGTACATAGGGTTGCTATGAGTCGCAGGCTACTCAACGGCACATACCAGACTCTCTTAAATAGAAAACTCATACGACAACCACCTCTACCCTCTGGAAAATTAGCCCCAAGCCCTCCTTTCAGTCTCTAACATCAAACCAAGTTCCTTACCCTTGTCCCTGCCTCTCCATTTTTCTTAACTCTTTTTCTAATCTAACCCACCTCCTCTACACAACTACCAAGGTTAGAGTAGAAATGATAAGGATGGAGTCCTATGTCATTCACCATGGATCCAATCTTGCTCCCTTCCCATTCCAAAATAAATCTATTCCTTCAACAAGGAGAATATCTCACTCTTCTTTAAACATATTATCATTAGCCTGAATTGCAGACCTGTTTGGTTTGTAAAGTCTGGCACTCTCTCCTCTGTAGTTAGATTTAAAATGTAAAATGTCACTGTCTTCCCAAAGGCAATTTGACAAGCTTTTAAAATGTTCATACTTTTTCGCTTAGCAATTCCCCAACTAGGAACTCATCTGAAGAAAATAATCATAGATTTGCATATAAAGACACTTATGCAAAATTGAAGTTTGAATAAATAAGTCTTATATTACAGCTATCCTACTTTAAAAGCTTTGCGACGTTAGGCAAATTACTTAACTTCTCTATGCTTCACTTTCCTCATTTGATATGACACGTCCTGGATCTGTCCTGAGAATTAGAAAGGATAAAACCTGTAAAGGTTTAGTGCCTAGAGGGATAATGCTGGTAAAGTTTTGTGCTTAGTAATAATCACAAAACAAACTACACTTGTCCTTCCAGGGAATCTCTGGGTGGTTGGTCAGCTTGGCTGTTAACCAAAAGGATGGATGTACAAGTCCACTCAGAAGTGCCTCAAAAGAGAGGCCTGGCAATCTGCTTTGAAAAATCAGTAGCTGAAAATTATCTCTTTGATTACATCTAACCCAAATCATTGTTATTATATGACATCAAGTAGGAAATGACTCATAGCTGACCCTCTCACAGGTTTTCACTTTTGTAGGAACCATTTTTCTCCTGCCCTGTCCAGGACCTCCTCTTTAGAAAATAATCAGACACCATCCAATTCTGCTGGTTCCAGAGTCTTAGAGGCTGGGTTTGCATGGTTCATTCATCCTTTGGACTAATTGTTTCCATTGTGTGTCTTTGATTCCACCTCTCCCTGCCCCCGCCCCATTCTTTTTTGTTCTGGTCAAGGAGACCAATTATTGCATTTTAGGCAAAATATATATGTTCATATGTGATATTCATAGGATCGCCATGAGTCATAGTCAATTTGATGACATTTAAGAACAAAAACATCCTTCCATATGCAGTGGCATCATAATACTAACTTTTCCTAGATATTTTGGTTCCTAAGTGAGATAATGAGTCTACGACTCAACAGCACTTAACAACAATAACAATGACAACATAGAGAGAGCTACATTGGCCTAGTGGACAGAAAATTATGTCACCAAGCCCAAGGTGGATGATTTTAATCTGAGGCCCTCAGGCCTGGTTTAAATTATATTTTGTCAAACATTCTATTAAGTGGTATAGAATTGGTCTGTGCATTGCTGTACAGAGGTAACTCGTGGTTGCTGTGAGGCTAAACACTGTGACACTGATGTGTCAAATGTGACAATGGTTACCCATGGTGGACAGTGTTTGGTGAAGCTCCCTAATTAAAACAAGCCTAGAAGCAGGAGTGGCATCAACTTCTGAAATGGCTTGCCTCAAGAAACTTTATGAACAATGCTCAGGCCTTTTGTTCATAGCGTCACTGAGTCATCTAAGACTCCATGGCACTTAACAACAACAACAACAAGAGAGATAATATCTATTGAGATAGTAATAAGATCCTGGGTAAATAAACGACAGCTTTCTGCTTCAGTAGTTTTCTTTAATTCAACAATTCATCTTCAGGAACTAGCCTGGTAGTTACTAATTACATGTTGTACAATTCATACAGGGTGAACGTGGGGAGGCAGGGCCACCTGGAATAGGGGAGCGAGGAGAGCCTGGAGTTCCTGGACCAAAGGTCAGTCGTTCTTATATTGGAAGAGAACTTTATTTGGTCTGGAAAGGTATGCCACTTGCATTACAACATAAAAAAAAATCCTGAGTAGGTACTAAGCCATCAAAATCACAAACCATTTATTGATGTGTACTTAAGTTGCTTCTTTTAAAAAATTACCGTACAGCTGAACTTTTCTGGTTTACACAGTGCTCCATGGTGAAAAAAATTGTATAACACATTCAAATGTTAAAGGTTTTCGTAGTAACACTGTTATCACTCTGTTTTAAAATTTATTGAGAAAAGCCCTGTTGATACAGGCTATCTTAGTTTCTATAGTAACGAAATGGTATGTAACACCTTGAAAATATTAGAGCTAAGGATTTATTTGACTATTCTGTCTTTATGAGTCTAAACTTCCCTCAAACTAATGTGGTAACACTTTATTTTAACAACTCAACCTGGAGACAGAGTAAATTATATATTCTTTGATAAAAAGGAAATGTATGCAAATGATCATTGTTGAGATAATGAGAATTATACACTCATCCATTGATGGGAGGACGATCTTCAAATTAAAATGGAATGAAAGCTGATGGGGAAATGAGAGAATGGACTAATTCCACATTGACTATGCTTCGTGTTATTAAATCCAACATTATACTGAACCAGTAAAATAAAGTGTTTCCATCCTTCTTTGTTATTCTGATCACTGCTAATTCCTATTTTTCTTTTCTTATGCCCTTTATCATTTCTCTTTCTCATCTTCATATTCTCCTGTAATAGGGGAAGCAAGGTGAATCAGGAACTAGAGGCCCAAAGGGGTCCAAGGTCAGTAAAAACACCCAGTAACCATTTCAGTGTACCATGAGACCATCAAGAGATAAACTTTTTGCCCTTTTCATAAATAATTGTGTTTTAAACGCTTCCCCATACTGTCATTGTATTCCTTTTTTCCTATGGTAATATCAAAACAATTGGTCTGTTCCATCATACTGATTTTTTTCTTTTGTGCAGTTTTGTACTTTAGACAATTCTTCTTTAAAAAAGTTGTATTTTCTGTTTCAGACAAATTGTTGCTTCTTTGGAAAAATTATTTAAACTATATCTTGGATAGGGAGCTCTGGGGGCCTACTGATAAGGAGCAAGGTTGTATTCCCCAAAACAGTGATTCAAATCTACCAGCTGCTCCTTGGGAGAGAGCTAAGAAGTCTTCTCTCGTGTGATTTACTGCCTCTGATAACCCACTGAAGGGTCAGCTTGGAATCAGTTCTGAGTTTGTAGTGCTTACCAGCAATACCACCTTTGTGATAAATCTTCAAATTATGCCTTGTTGTTAAGTTAGGTAACTCCTTTCATTGCATTAAAATTTTATTATCCATTGAAATTATTCCCTCCGTCATGCTCTTTATACATAGTTATTAAAAATGTTAATAACAAAGAAACAGATCTAAAAAGAGGAAAACAGAGAGTGCTTCTTAATTGTCCATCTCACAGTAAATTTAATTAGTCAGTGTTATTAATATAATATGTATACAAAAAAAATGTATCTTTTTTTCCCTACTTACCTATTCTCTAACCTGTTTATAGCAATATGTAATCTGTAGAAAAACCTCTAAAAATTCTGAGTTTTGTATAGGAAATGGGATTCATAAATTTAAAACCTATTATGAGAACCTTCAGATCTACATATGTTGGAATGTTTTCTCAAAATATTTAGATTAGACTTTTAAAAATTGCATTTTTGAAGCCAGGCAGATACAATTTGGGCATTAAACTATTCTGAATCACAAGTCAGAGTAATGGCGCTATAAATTGAACTGCAGTGATTTTAATATTGCTCTAACAAAAGAGAGCTGGGTTCTGCCCTGCCCCTGAGCTACAGTCCTAACTAACAACCTGTTCTAACTACCTGCTATCTACTTTAGCACCTTTAGAGTGGTAAAGCACTTATGTGGTGATGTGCTGCCTACTGTGTCCAACTGTAACTGAAAGGTTGGAGTTGGCATCCACCAGCAATTATGGTAGAAAGATGGCATTCTCTTTTCATTAAGACTTACAACCTCAAAAACCTAATGGAGGATTTCTATGGGTTTCAATAGACTTGAAATCAATGGGCTTTCAATAGACTTGAAATCAGCGGATTTTAATTTTTTCTAATGCCCAGCTATTAACTGAAAGGGGTAAGCTCTCAAATTCACTCAGGGATGACTTGGAAGAGGAGCCTTGGCAGTCGGCTTCTGAAAAACCAGGAATTGAAAAGCCTTTTGAGCACAGTTTCACTCTGACACCCACAAGATCTCCATGAGTCAGGAATGACTCAATGGCAATTGGCTGTTTGTTTTAAATAAACTTTTCTTCACTCCCCATCGTTAGGAGACCTCGCCAGTGACCTTTCTCTTCTTATTCTCCATGGAAGGAGCTCTCCATTCCTTTCCTGTCCAGATCATCCATACTTTTCTTCTTAGAGAACAGAAAACCTAGCTGTAGAAAGACCTCTAAAAATTCTGAGTGAAAATTTCTTAGTGCCCGGCTCTTTTTTCCCCTTTGTCACAAAGAATATGATTTAATGTAGAAAACAAAGGCTTGTTTTAGGTGCCATAAACAACACTCTCTTTGATTTTCAATATCTCATCTAGTGAGAGAATTACCATGCATATTTTTTGGTCAGATACTGTAGTATGTAAAATGGGGATTTTCATTTCCTCAAGGTATAGCTACAGATAGCTATAGAAAAACATGTTTAGCTGTATAGGAAAACAACTGCTGTTTTGTTCCTGGTAGTGCTGGTGGTGATGATTTATCACTCCATAGTTCATGTTAAAGATATTACTCGAGGGTATAAAAATACTCTCACATCTGAGCGATTGCTAGACTGTAGGTTTCACAACTAATTAATGTTTTTCTCTTTTTACTGGGGAAAGGGTGATCGTGGAGACAAAGGTGACTCTGGAGCCCTGGGACCAAGGGTGAGTGTGCATTTCATGGAATCATTTATCCCCACAAGTCCACACTTAAGCATATGGCTATGTTTCTTTTTGCAAGGCACCTGGACTAAAAACTTCTAAGTAGTAGTACTAGAAGCAAACTACCAGTAGAGTTATTTCTGTTACTCTCACCCTTTTCTCCTTAATTTTGTGTATTTTTCTCACAAGAAGCAAGAGTATAGGGGTTCTAACATATAAAGTAAGATTCAAAATACAAATGTTTAAATATCTCCTTCATCTACTACTTTCTCTCTGTTAAATGAATAATATCAAGCCTATATTCGTCAGCTAAAATAGAATTTTCCACTTTTCCATTTAATCAATCATAAAAGAGGACTGACAAAATATGTTTATAGTCTTTGGAAAAAAAGAAAAAGCAGGGAATCATGGCATAACGAAGAATATTGAGTGTCCCATGGCCTACTAAAGAAAAATAACAATTATGTCTTAGAGAAATTGCAGCCAGAGTGCTCATTAGAGGCAAAAATCACACATTTTTTCCATGTCATGTTCTTAGGGTATGTTATTAGGAGAGCCTTTTCCTTGGAAAGGGACATTGTGCTTGGAAAAGTGGACGGTTAGCAACAAAGAGGAAAACCTTCAATGAGTTAGATTGACACAGTGACTACAGCAATTGGCTCAAATATGTCAGAGGAAAAAAAAATATGTCAGAGGTGATTAGAATGGCACTTGACAGGACAGGGCTCATATCTGCTGTTCATAGGGTCCCTATGAGTTACACTTGACTTGATGGCACCTAACAACAACAGCAACAATGGAAATTATGTGGAAGAACTAATAGTACCTTAAAAGACATTTAAGAAAAAAATGTATGTTCTCCTTTTTTATCTAACTTTAATGAGATTCTGTTCCTTTTGCAAAAGCCAAGCATTTTCTACAGAATAGTATTCTATCCTATTAAAGAAGTTGTTAATAATTGCCTTATAGTTAGTTCTTATTTATAAGGACAGGATCATATCCATACGCTTACAAGGAAGACCAGTAAATACCACTATCATTCAGATATATGCACCAAAAACCAGAGCCAAAGAAAAAGAAATAGATGATTTCTACCAACTTTTACAGTCGGAGATAGATCGAACATGCAATCAAGATGCATTGATAATAATGGGTGACTGGAACGCAAA